CAGGCCTGAGCCTTTGGAGAGGGTGGTGGGACTGGACAGGGCAGTCTGTGAAGAGTGTGTACCGTTTATCTTCTGCGGAAACAGATCCCTAGAGTCCGTTATGAATGCAGCTCATTGTGCCTCTCACTTCCTTTGTGAGAAAAGCCCCAGCCAGGCACAGCTGCACCTATACAAGAAACCACAGACAAAACTACTTCCCCCAAGTTTGATCTGAACAAAAACATACTTGATTTCCTGCCTGTGTGTTATAGTCAAGATTGCCACTTACTTCCTGAATGTCAGGATCACAGCTGATAAAAGCATATCATAATCATTAGTCATCAGTGTGTTTCCCCTGAAAATGACTTATTTTATTCATTTCTCCCCATCCTCTGCTTTATTCTGTCTGGCAGCTACTTCTTTTAATTACAAAAATCACTTTGTTCTATCATTATTACTTGCTTTGCCGCTTATTTCTGCTTCATGAGTAATTCATTCTAAATTTTTAGAAGGAGGTGACTCAGGGAAAACATGTTTTGCTTAGAAGGGTTGAATGTGGATCTAGCAGATGCTTATTAGTTGCTTACTGGGTGAAGTAGTTCTACCAACTTTGTCTTTAAGACTGGCTTTTCTGACTGGTTCTCAGGCTGACTGAATCACTTGGCACTCAGCAACAATATGCATTTTAAAGATACTTTTTTTGTCTCCCTGGGGAATGGGCCGAGACAGCACATCTGGAGCCACATCCGGCCTGCCAGCTCACTCCTCCTAGCAGGGCCTGCCCTGGGAGGGCAGGCAGGGGCTGTCATCTGGTGGGAGAGGTCCTGCTCCCATTCCAGGGGCACTTCCCAGGGCGTGGGGATCCCAAGGCTACCTCAGGAATTCTGAGTCGCCCCACTTATTTCCTGGAAACTTGACTCATTCCAGGCCTTTTCTAGGGAGCAGTGAGTGAGTCAGCAGGGGCACAGGTACAGGATTTGCTCCTAGACCACTTGGCATATTTCATATGCATTCCACAAATGAGAAAACAAGGTACAGAAAGGTTTAAATACATTACCGAGGTTACCAGGATCGGCCACAATCCCTTTAGTCCGCCTCTGGGGATTACACTCTTAATTATCCTCCAAAGAGCCAGGAAAGGGTCTGGAAGGCTACACTGCCAGGGAATGGGAAGAGAAGTTCATTTTTCACTTTATACAACTCTGTACATTTCTTTAGTGTATGCTGTTTTTAATCACTTAACAGTTTACCCCAAGGGTCACTCAGGCAGTGTGCTGGTTTACATGTGGACTATCCTAAGCATCGCTCAGGCAGGTGTTGACTGTTTTAAGATACACCATACACAGAAAAAATTTGATAATATTGCTGTTTTTATCTTTTCTGATATATTATAAAAATCAATGAAATAGGCAGTTTTTGGTCATCCTGGATTTAAATAATTGGACTGGTAAGTGGTTAAAAAGCTGATTTTAAAAGTTCAAACTATACAGCTACAACATTTAAGAGGCAAACCACAGACTATTCATTCTGGACTTTAAAATTATCTGACATAATTCCTAGGACCAGAATTAAACATTGTTAATGTTTGGAAATACTGGACCCAAATTATCCATGGCCTAAGAATGTCTTTGCCATACTGAATCATAATCCTTCATCCAGACCTAATACTGTGAGAACCCTGCACTGGACATTTGTGGCCACTCTCAAAACCCTGCCGAGGGAGGGCTGGGCCCAAGTGAGCGAGCCTCTGTGACAGTCCCTGCCGCTTGTCCTTCCGGGCTGCCAGGCCTCACCTCAAAAGGGAGACCTCTGTGGGCCGCAAACTGAATTATACCAGCATCACTTCCCCTCTGCAGTCGAGCAGCGTGGCCAAAGCTAACACAGTTTATTAAGGTCCCTGGAATCCCTGGACAAGACTCATGGCATACAAAGAATTCTATTACTCACTCCTTCCTAGCGGCCTCACCTCCAGCATTTTCCATCCCGGCCTGCTCCCCACCCCAGAGCACTGCACTTGCTCGCTCCAGTTATTTCAAGTCCTGCCTACACATTCCATTTACTGACAGAAAGGCAGATGTGAGACAAGCTTTTTTTCTATTTTTAAAAATGTGCCAAGCTTATGACTCTGGCGTTGCCTTTTCACCTGGACAGAGGTCCAGCTGAGCCGAACGGGAAAAGTCCTCATCGCAGCCCTTTCCTACACAGCTTTGGCTTTCAGAGCTCATTTCTTACCTTAGAAAATGTTTGAGGCTTGTGAAATATTTACACGTCCTGGGTGTCACTTGATCAACAGCAAGGAAAAAAGCAGACCACTGCTGGATGTGTAAAAACATCAACTAACATTTATTTTTGTTTCAGCTCTTAAAATCTATTGTGTACAAACAGATTTGCTAGATAAAGATGTGGCTTAGAAGACCAGTGTGGACAGAAAACACCAGAAAGTATCTCAATCATTCATGATTAGAAGGAAGAGGTGGGCTGAGCATGGTGGTACATGCCTATAATCCCAGCACTGTGGAGGCTGAGACAGGAGGATCGCCACAAGTTTGAGGCTAGAGGAACCTCCATCTCCCACCTCTTCCCACAGTTCCCAGGGTGGAATCTGGTGCCACAAAAGTGGGCTTCCACACCCTGGAAGAAATGTCCCCATGCTCAAAATGTGTGGTCTGTGGAGGCGCAGAGCTGTCTACCCAAAGACCACACACTTTTCCTAGTTCCTCTCATACAACCTCCCATAGAGAGCTGCTGTCACCAGACCAGAGGACAGTCCACTCTTCCTCATGAAATAGTGGTCATTTTCCCAGCCAAGCTGGTCAGGGATTTCCAGGGTCATTCCTGAGGTCAGAAACAATGGAAAGAGATAGGAAGTACTGAAGTTGCCCCACAGGTGAAACTCAAATATCCCTGAGGCCTCTGTGACCTCTTGCCCACAGGTGTGGAAGCCAAGACCCCCACACTTGACCAGGGCACAAACCTGAATATAGTATGTGCCATGCACAGTGTGAAGACCATCAAAGACCCCCAGGGCATACAGCTCTTTGGACAGAGTGGGCCTCCTGTACAGTAAATAACAGCAGAGGCTGTTTGAACAGACTTGAAGGTAGCCTTCCTTTCTCCAGGCAGGGACCAGGGTGAAATTGTCATACATCATCTCAGAATGAAACATGGGAGGAATATTCATGTTCCACTTGGCATCTTTAACACAATGGACTTCCTGAGCATCTTTCTCACAATATGGACTGCCTGACAAAATTTTTAAAAACTTACTATGGGATGGATCCATTTTACCTGCTGCATTCTCTGTGCCAACAAGACCCTGGGGATTTTTGGCTACCTGAGCAGTTATAAGGTGACCTTTGGAATCTTCCATGTCATGGTACCAAAAGGACTTCAGAGGGGTATGGATGCCGCTCCCTGTAATCCCCAGTGATGGGTGGTGGATGTTAGCTGCCAGCACGTTGACACCAAAGGCAACAGCAAAAGCTTTCTGAATCTCAATGGCTGCCAAGAGGGGGAGCTGGTTCATCCAGGCTGTCGGATACACGACATGCTTCACCTCGGAGTCTTGGAGGAGTCTGACAGCAGGATCAAAGAACAGTATGTCAAAGCAAGTGAAGATGCCAAACGTGCCAGCAAAGGGTGTATGGAAGGTGATGTAATCTACTTTAAGAGGAGTGTCAAAAGCTGCCTCAAAGTAGAGGTTGTGTTTACGGTAGCGATCAACAAGGGTTCCATTACTGCTGAACACAACATTTGTGTTGAACTGGTATCTCCCGTCACTCGGGCACCCTGGGTCACTGCTAAGACAAGGCTCTTTTATCCCAAGATTGGCCACCAAGAACATCTCCCCCTTGAGGGCCATGCAACTCAGGCGCTGGAGGACCTATAAAAACAAAGATATAAATACATGGATTTTTAAAAACCCTGCCTTTAGCCTCATTTTTTAATAGAAAAGTTCCTGTATTATGTCCATAATATATATAAATGGCTATCATAAACCAGTAAGCAAAAACAAAAACAAAAAACACCAAAGACTATAAATAGAGGATTCATGGAAGAAGAGAAATGGCCAAGAAGTATCTGAAAAGATGCTCAACCTCATTAGTAACAGAGAAATGCAAATTAAGACAATAATTAGGTATCATATTTCACCTTTGTTAGATTGGCCAAAAAAAAAAAAGATTAATTTTTTTTTTTTTTTGAAGACAGGGTCTCACTATGTAGTTCAGACTGCCCTGGAACTCACTAGGTAGCCCAGGCTGGTCTCGAAATCATAGCAATCCTCCTGCCTCAGCCTCCCGAGTGCTGGGATTACAGGCGTGTGTCACCACGCCTGGCTGGATTGGCAAAAATTTTAAAGGTTATTCTATCCAGCATGGATCAGAGAGTATGAAGACAGGCACTCAGGCACTATTATTGGGGATATAAAGTGATGTAAGAATCTTTTAAGGGAAAAGTTTGGTACTCTTTAAAATAATTTAAAATGTGCACAGCCTTTAACAAATTCCATTTCTAGGAACTTTACTTCCCACAAAAACTTGGACATTTACAAAAATATATGTCCAAGGATATTCACTGAAACATTTCTCATAATAAGAGTTTAAGAGAGAGTAAACATACAGCATGCTAAAGAAAGATGCGATAGGAAATGACAGAAAGATGGATGCATAGCGCGATGTCAATGGAAGCTGGAAGTTTCTTTAGAAAAGGAAATGGGAGGAGAGATGGGCTGTGGCAAAAGTAAACTTTTACTTTTTAAAAAACTTGTTTGACTTGTTTTTTTAGTAAGTGTATATTCATGTATTTTTGTGTAATTAGTAAATGGAAAGATCTGCAGGTGAGTAAATGGTTTGTAATACCATACTAGATGATAACTGAATGGATGCACGGCACATTGAATTTGATTGTTTAGATCCTAATGTCTTCTTTTAATCTCAGCATGTTGTGGCTTCTGATTGCTAGCTTCATTCATCTCCACATGCCCTTGGACTAGTAAGGAGGAAGACCGAATTGTCACGTACCTCTGTGTCATTGAAACGGTGAGGCTCCAGGCATGGGTTCCACCTGACAAGCTGGGGAGATGGCATAAAGTCCAAAAACGGGTAAATGGATGTTCTTGTAAAGTTGAATCCATGAATGCCATCTTCTGGGAACACTATAATCTGTACACCCTGTAAGTCAATATCAAATTACAGTCTGTTATAATTAATTAGTTCATTCGTTTGATAACCACCAAGAAATTACTCTGTACCAGGTGCCAGATACAGAGATAGTGGCTCAACTCCCCTCAGGAGTCTTAGTCTTGGGGAAGCTGAATGCTTTTTCTAGGAAGAACCATTACTTGTGCCTGAGAGCACGTCAGGGAGAGGGAATGAGTAAGTACCAGACAGAAGGGATTTCAAGCGGCCGGTACAATAAAAGATGGAGCTGACTATAAAGTAAAGGGTCTTGACTATCTCTAGCCCACTGGTTCTCAGCCATTCTGCATGATGCTTCTGATGCTAGGCCCATCCCTAAAAAGTCCAATTCAACTGACTGTGGGTGAGTCTTGGCAACAGTGTGTAATGTTCCCTAGGTGATTCTAATGTCCAGCCAGGAATGGGACCAGTAACTAAGAGTCAAGTGTGTTATTTCAGCACAGAAATGAAGGCTCACTTAAAATTTCAATTTCCCACTTGGGAATGAGGAGGTTCCCTTTGGGACTCTGGCCACTTTATAGACCTTTCCCCACACCTGAGGACACCCTGGGCTGCCTGGGACAGCTACAGCAACCTAAGGAAACACAAAAAAACGAGCTCTCAGTTTAAGGGCCTCATTCTTCTGTTGTGCTCCACTTATGTGGATTAAAATGTCAAGCTCCAGTGCAGAAAGAGGAGAAGGCACACAGAGAGGGCATGAATAATCTAGGACCATGCAGTTTGAGGTTTTTTTCTTCTAGAGTGCACTGCAAATTCTTTTTATGTTTTTTTTTTTTTTCTGGTTACAAAAGCTCTAATTAACTGTAGAAAATTTGGAAAAGAGAAAAATAATTCATAATCTAAAATGCAAAGATTAATATCTATTTTTCTTTCTGTATATGTGCAGATAATTGAGAAAATAAATATATGATTTTGCACCTTGAATGTTTTTCTTGAAGAACACATTCAAAAGTATCATTTGTAATGGCCACATTATATTTAAGAGTACCCTATTGTTTCTCCTTTATTCTTGGAAATTTGAATTATTTCTAACTTTTTGTAATAAAAAGAAGATTGTGCTGACCATCTACCTATGATGTGTTCAAAACGTTTACTGAATGAGTATTTTACACAGGTCTTTGAATCTCTGATTATTTCTTCAGAATAAAGTCTTACAAGTGAAATTAATGGTCTTACAATATGAAAAATTTTAATTTCTTAACACACATTGTCAAATAGCTATCCAGAAAGGCTATACCGCACAGGCTCCCTCCAGAAGATAAGGACAGAGGCCATCCCACTGCAGCCTTAACAATGACTCCATAAAGAAGCGAAGCAAGACAAGATGAAGAACGTATGCCTCCCCAAATTACACTGGGATACAGATTAATAATGCAAAGACGCTTTAATTAGCTAGACAGTGTGCTACTATTTGACTTTGTTACTTAAAAGATCATCACAAAGATTATAACTGTACAGCCCTGGAGAATATTAGCAGTTTTTTATCTATTAGAAAATGTATTTCATCATTTACTGGGCTGACAGACACATTTCCATTTCTCCAGTCCTCCTTTGAATCAGCTTTACCATCTTACTGGTTCCCTCATTAACTAATGAGTTAAACAAAAATTTTCTTTACTCTGTAATCATATAAGAATCATGCAATTAATTTTTTTTTTTTGTACCAGGGATTGAACTTGATTCCTCACTGAACTAAATCCCCAGCCCTCATGTATTTAATTTCTGAAAATTACACTTGGACAAATATTTTCTTTATTAAAAAGAACACGTGAGACCACTGAATGGTTTTTCACAGAGGATACCATTTAAACTATGCATACATGTTAGGCTAATATGAAAATTAAACTGCATTCCCTGAGCACACATCAGCCAGGAATAAGGTTGGGAACCAAATGTGAGTCAGAGCAGAACTTTGGGTCTGATGTGATAAGCAATTAGCACCCCTAATAGCTTCAGCAATTTTCTGATGGACTTTAATGAAATCAAGAACTCCTTCCGAGGAATGAAGGTCACCAACCTAAGTAACTGACAAGCCTAATCATCCTTAAATTGGCCTCCTTCCTCACCCCCACCCCAAATGTCTCTACCAAAAGAAATATTTAAATTGTTTGTTCAAGAACCTCTGTCTTCACAGCAAGTCTGCTACACAATTTTGCCAAATCCTTGCTATTAATTTATCTTAAAACTTGCTTTAACACTACATAGGGGAGCTGAGATATCTGAGAGCACTAAAAACTATCTTATCAACCAACAACTGCATCCCCGCTCCCAGTCCACTAAAGAGAAGGAAGAGTGCCTTGCGGCTGACATAGGCCCCACAAAACCACACTGTATATTTCCGTTAGGAGCAGGAAAATGAGAATTCTATATTTACAGTCTCTAGGTTTCAGCACAACATTTGCCAAATGTTTCAGATGGTCCTGTGGACAGGGTGGAGAAGCACGAGGTAGGTGAAACTGCAGGTGCTAGATTCAGCTCAGGCCAGCAAACACCTCCACCCCAAGAATGCCTGCCCTCCACAGGATCAGTATCAGCGG